TGTTCTCTCTTCCAGCTCCATCTAGAGCATCACAGAGAAGGAAGAATTCCCCCTCTCTTTTGGGGGTAAGGAGGAATTCACTCTGCTCTTTAAAGGAGCTTAACATATGATTTGGAACATAATAAATACCGTACTTTTCCTAAAGCAACTTTTTTTGTCTTGCTTGTGATTAGCTAGTGTCACCAAGAAGCTGACCATAATTAGATGTGTGTGGGGGGCAAGAGATCTATGAAGGTAAAAATGGGGGCTTGATAATCAGTTTTGGTCATTTCCAGATGGGACTTCTGATAAAACAAGCATAGAGGAATTGTGAGGATTGAATGCAGAAGGAAGTTGACTGCACACCTTCTTATCCAGGTTCCTTCACTTTAGCTCACTAATACCTTCAGATAATGTAATTTGTGTATATTATCTTTGTAGCTACAATGAAGATAAATGTAGGAAGTGTATTTGCTATGTTGAAACTTTTATATATACCTTTATGTACCTAAAGCCTACAGTGTGCCAATGTCAGCTGTTTTGAGTAGCTGAAGTTCACATCCAGCATCACCACTGATTGATTTATGTTTCTTAGTTTGTTTAATGTCTGTCTTTACATAGGCAGTCTTCAGGTAACAGCATTATTGAGGAAGGTTTCCATATAATGTGGGAGTTAGGGCACTTGTCATGCATATGTATATGCATCTTAATCAGGCCTTAGTGTTAATAAAAGGTACTTCAAATGACATAGTGCAAATGGCTACTCCTTCATGTTTCTTGCAGTAATGGTAGAGCTGGTGGTGTTGACTTTTTTGCTATACTGAGGGGAAATGTATAGTGAATAGGTACCATAGAAGTCAGTGCCAGAGTCCTGAATTACTTGTTATATACATGGAACCTCATCCCAGCAAAACAGTACATTTTAAACAAAGTAATTCTACTTGTGTTTTGGTCTCAGTTGATGATACTATTTTTTTTTTCTTCCTGTAAAGATTGAGTTGAAATATATTTATCCACTATAAAACATGAAAGATACGAAAGGAGTGGTCTTTGGGGCAATATTTTATCTTTCTTGTTGAATCTCTCTTTGAATCTACCGTATGTTCCAATATTTCCTATTTTCTTTGGATTTCAATTGCCTGAAGTGACTAGACCCGAGTTTGTTTCCAGATGCTAGTAGGTTCTGTTATAGAAATGAGGCTGGATATCAAATCCATGTGTAGGTGTAGCTCTACATTTTTCTTTTTGGTAGCTGTATTTCTTTCATAAATATGCTAATGTATGGGCTAACCTCATAAGAATCATCTACACATATGAATGGAAGCCCTGGATTTAGAATTAACAGCTGCTGACCTGCATGAATAGGTCATGAAAGTGTCATTCTAAACAAAAGGTTGATTTAAGTCTTGAAGTATGTTTTCTCCAAGATTATGATTTTAATAATATTTGTTTCTAACCATGAGGGGGTTTTTTTGTTCATATAAATGTTCAATCTTCTAAGTTTTGCTGTGAGGTTAAAGGTTAATGTATTCTTGTGGCAGCAACTTCCACATGTATTGCTTTACTTTGTTTTATCTATATTTTGATTTGGGGAAAAAAAGAAGCTCTCAATCTGCCTAAATATTCTTTTTTTTTTCATAGGGGGTACTAATGAAGCTACGTTATTTTTTTCCCTGTCTCTTGTTTCTGCAGCTTCTTCGTGATTCAGATTGCTTTTTGCCACCCTTCTTTGCACTTCCCACTCTTGTACTTGCATTCTCTAGAGAGGGGTGATTAGTATGAAAATGGCACAGAATTTATGTCTGGATAGTAGGAGAGGTAGAGATAATAGTTCAACTCCTCTTTATCCCTTTGTATGAATTCTAATACTCCATTTTAGTTGCAACTTACTATGACACCCAGGTCCCATTCCTAATCTAGTACAATATATTTAGAACCCTGTAGGGTTTAGATTCAACTCTTCTCTCTAAAGTGTATTACCATAAAATCATCTGATGTGAAATTCATCTGCTGTTGTGATACTTGCTTCCATATGTGTTTAGGTCTATGTGGCCCTGTGTAGATACCCAAGGTAGCTTTTAGGAAGTGGTGCTGCTGGTGGAAAAATTCAGTTGTCATGCATGGAGCTGCTGCGTGATGTTTAGTAAAACTGCCTGAGATCCAAACTAGCCCAGGATATAGTAAGGTGATCCACTGGTTTATTGGCAGAGCCAATTTAAGTCCTTTCTTTCCAATCCTGTGGTTCGTTTTCTGTCTGTCCATAAACAGCTGTTTGAGATTGTACTGTACACAACATCACTGAACAAGAGGGGTGGGAGTGGGAACCCCAGTCAGTCTCACCTCTGTGCCTGGCAAGATCATGGAGCAGGTCCTTGTCAGAACTGTGCTAGGGCACATGGAAAATAAGGAGGCGATTGGTGACAGCCAACATGGCTTCACTAAGGGCAAATGGTGCCTGACAAATTTGGTGCCTACTATGGCAGGATTACAGTGTTGGTAGATAAGGGAAGAGCAACTGATGTCATGTACTTGGACTTATGCAAAGCATTTGACACTGTCCTGCATAACATCCTTGTCTCTAGAGAGACATGGATTTGACAGATGGACCATTCAGTGGATAAGGAATTGGCTGGATGGTCACACTCAGAGACTGGTGGTCAACAGCTTGATGTCCAAGTGGGACCAGTGACAAGTGATGTTCCTCAGGGGTTCGTATTGGGACCAGCGCTGTTTAACGTCTTTGTTGGAGACATGGACCATGGGATTGAGTACACCCTCAGCAAGTTTGCCAATGACACCAAGCTGTGTGGTGAGGTTGACATGCTGGAGGGAAGGGATGCCATCCAGAGGGGCCTTGACAGACTTGGGAGGTGGGCCCTTGCAAACCTCATGAACTTCAACAAGACCAAGTGCAAGGTCCTGCACACGGGTCAGGGCAGTCCCAAGCACAAATATAGGCTGGGTGATGAGTGGATTGAGAGCAGCCCTGAGGAGGAGGACCTGTGGGTGCTGGTGGATGAAAAGCTGGACATGAGCTTACAATGTGTGCTTGCACCCCAGAAAGCCAACCATATCCTGGGCTGCACCAAGAAGTGTGGCCAGCAGGTCAAGTGAGGGGATTCTCCCCCTATGCTCTGCTCTCATGAGACCCCGCCTGGAGTACTGTGTTCAGTTCTGGGGCCCCCAACATCAGAAGGACATGGGCCTGTTGGGAATGAGTCCAGGGGAGGGCCACAAAGGTACTGAGGGAGCCGAAGCACCTCTCCTATGAGGACAGGCTGAGAGAGTTGGGGTTGTACAGCCTGGAGAAGAGAAGGCTCTAGGAAGACCTTATAGCGGCCTTAGTACTTATAGGGGGCCTAAAGGAAAGATGGGGACTTTTTACGGGGGCATGTAGTGATAGGACAAAGGGTAATGGCTTTAAAATGAAAGAGGGTAGATTTAAGATTAGATGTAATAGAGTTCTTCCCTTATGAGGGTGGTGAGACACTGGGACAGATTGCCCGGAGCAGCTGTGGCTGCCCCCTCCCTGGAAGGGTTCAAGGCCAGGTTGGACGGGGCTTTGAGCAACCTGGTCTGGTGGAAGGTGTCCCTGTTCATGGCAGGGGGGTTGGAAATAGATGATCTTCAAGGTGCCTTGTAACACAAAACATTCTATGACTGTACGATAAACCTGCCTTCTTGTTAAAATGAGTGTATTTTGTAACTACACCCATGTTAGCTCAGAGAGGATTGGACTGTGTTGGATGGTGGAGAGACCCTGCCTTTCTCACGTTTAGGGAAAAGAAGTGTCTGTAACAAGCATATTGTATTGCCTTTTTTTTTTAAAAAAAAAAAAAAAACAAACCAAAAAAACCCGAATAGTTGTATTTCCAGGATTCTCTACCTGAGCTTTAAATCACAGCTAAGTCTTTGGCCAGGACAAAAAAATTGCCACGCTATTAACTTTTATTTTGTTGTTAAGTTCAATGATTAATTTCAACTTGCTAGTTTCCATTATTTGTTTTGAACCATTAAACATCAGCATCTATACAGACAGTGCTTGTATAGAGTAGGAATTGACTTAGCTATACTTGAAAATAACACTGCTAAATCTGATGTGGAAAATTGTGAGTGGTTTTCCAATGCTGTGTAAAACTTATCCTGGAGAAGCCATCACGCTATCCATAGACAGATATCTGAGGGGCTTCATTCTAGAATCCATTCTGCAATTCAGCTTGCATCCAGGGGACACATGAAAACACTTTTTATGATGATTCTGAAGGGTGATTTTTATTATTTTAAGAAAGTAAATTTAGAATGTTGGCTAAATAACACTGAAACCAAATATATTTCTAGCTCCTATACTCAGTTCGATTGTAGCATTTGGACTGCACAAACTATGTAAGTGTTTTTACTGAAGACTTTGTGGTGCAACTAAATTCTGGCTTTAGAAATGTATCAAAGTCAAGAAGAAGAGTCCCTGCAGTGACAAACATCTATCAGCAATGACAAGTGTTTTTCACTTAAAAATACTTAGAGAGTAGAATGCCAATACTTCCCATATTTTCAATTAAACTTCACAGGCTTCTGTTATTTTGCACATATCATATATAACATGTTCTGCAACTGAGAAATGAGAAAATGAAGGTTAAAACTGACCAATGATTAAAGAGAACTACTTACTGGGACTGAAACAATAATAAAAGACAACTCCCTCTTCTTTAAATGCTTAAACAGGGAAACATTTTCCCTGGGGTTTGAAAATCCTTCTGGTATATGCTTAGGAGAAATATATGGAAATGCTTTCCTTTCTGGTAACTCCATTTAAATTCCTACAGCAAGGCTAAGGGTAAACTTAGAGAAACGGTCTTATCAGAAACAGTGCACTAGGAAAGTGATTATCCTGTTGGTAGGAAGGAGAGGCAGTGGGAGGATGGAAGCAGCGGGACTTTTGTTACCTTGTCAAACCAGAAAATCTTTTGCAAACTAAGGAGGTGCTTTCAATCAGCTGGTTCTACCAATGAACTTTGGACACTTTATTCTTTTTTTTTTTTTATTAGTTGTCATTCTTTGACATGATGAATACTTACAGCAGTATGTTAAAAAAGATACAGTTAAGTCTCTTGGCATCACTGCATAGCAGTCACAGCATTTTCACACAATCTAGTGCTTCCTTTCAGAATGATGCATATGGCATATATACGCACATATGGGGGCTGATTCTTGGTCCCAGTGAAGTTGGTGGGACAAGTGTTTGGCCCATAGAGTTGTATAAGGTATGTGAATATGTATATATAAAATGCTTTACAATAAACATGACATATACAATCTTGAATTCAAAGATAAGCAGAATATATTTTACATCCAAGTCAAACTTATGCTCTGCACTTAAAGTTTTTTGTACCTAAAATATTGGATGGATTATAGAAACAAATAATAGAATAGTAACTTGCACCAATCAAAGTAATTTTGATACATATTCATGGCATGAAGCTTGCCTTGGGGTTTTACTTTGTTTGTGTTTTGGGGTGGCTTTTTTTGGATTTGCAGGATCTTAATTCAAATTGAAGTATTGATTTTTTTGTGGGACATAAGCAGAGGATGGTGGTGTTAGGAGGGCAATGGGAGTACTTTATGGACTACTCAGCTGAGTGACTTGAAATATAAGGCTATAAATTATGACTGGTACCCTGACTGATACCTGAAAATAAAATTAAAACGATTTAAGTGTTTCTCCATTCTGAGGAGATTCCATTTGGAAGGGCTAGTATGCATTCTATCTCTGTTTTGTTGAAAACTTAATAGAAATTTCAACCACAGCTTATAAGAGCTGGTGAGATAGCTCTGCAGTGTGAAAACAGGCTTATCTCGCTTACTGTGGTAGCAGCCTTCTCACTGATCATTCAGAGAGACTTTGATTTTCTTCATGAAACCAATAGTTTATAAAAAATAATTGACCCATGTTGTAGATTAGGTTAGATACAACTGAGGATCGTGCAGGTGTTTGTTTTTTTTTTTTTTTTTTTCCTCATAGAGTCAGCTATTCCTCTCTCTGTATCTGTGTTTTGAAGGTACACATATTCAGTTGTCCTTGTTTTTTTCCCCTTTTGGCTGGTAGCTGGAATGTTGAGCCTTAAAAACCCAAAGATAGGTAAAATCTTTACTTAATGAAAATGCATACATATGCATTATTTTAACCAGCCTAAAAGTTTTACTTATCACTACTTTATTATTATTATTATTGTTGTTATTTATACAGAATTTCCTTCTTTGATGGTATAAAATCTGTGTTTAAAGAATCTAGGTTTTAATCGAGTGAATTGTGTTTGTGGGGCATAAAAGCATTTTAAGCTCCTGCTTTTAGCAGTTTTCTGCTTCCTTCCCTATATGAAGAACCTAACTCAGTTTTAAAACTTCAGAATATTTCAGCTTCACCAGCCCATTAAGAAAGAAAAATAATTTACGAGGGCTTTCTGTAAAGTGGCTAATAGGTGTGACAACAGAAATTTGTGTTATCTGCATAGAGTTTTTCTGTTCTGTGCATCTAGCATTCTGCTGGCATTCTGGGGAGAAATCCCAGTACAGAAATGTCCTCTAAACTAGTGAGTACCAAATATGTATCACAACCGCATACGCTAGGCACGGGTGCTGCTGGATTGGCTGTATCCAGTACGGTTTGGCTGCTTCAATGGGAAATCAAAGGCAGCATTTTGCATTACAGACCCCAGTGAATCTGGCTGCCAGGCATCTGCTGCCGGAGCCCAACTCTTCAGCACGCTTTAGTCTAGAGCACCTGAGGCAAACTGGCCCAGACCCAAACTTGTGTGATGGGTTTGGTTTACAAGTACAGAAGCGTTTCTGGAGCCACCCTGAACCTATTTCAAGCATTGTTTCATTAGACAAGGTGATTGAAATCTAGCAAGTATGTTCAGTGCACCAAAAAAACCCAAACCAAACAAACAAAAAAAAAACCTCCACAAAACCAAAAAGACCGCATAACCTGGTCACTTTAAGAGCAGCTTTTCAAAGTTGAGAAGGTCTAGCTTGGTAAGAGCAGACTTGTAATGGACCCTGTAGGCTCCAATTACAGAAAAGGTCTTGGTTTTATTGTAGCTGTGACAGAACTTGATTTGTACCTAATCTTTCCTGTTGGACCTATTTTCTGGAAGCTCCTCAGAAACAGCTCAACAATGTATCTGTCAAGAGCTTTTTATGTTGCTAGACACTGGGTTTGTTTAACTAAACTTCAGAACATTAAAAAAAAAAAATCTTTGAACTAGATGGGAAATGTCTTCCATTTCTTAGTAAAAAGACAAAACAAGGGAAATTTTATCATTTTGAATGTACATAAGTGCTTCTAAGCAGCACATTACACTGCTCACACAATGTCTTAATAATTGTCCTCAGTCTGTCAGAAGGAAAGATACACCTAAAAAGCTGCAAAGTGGTAACGCTCCTGCCCCCACTGTCAGGTGGCTAAAAAGACATTTATGTCTTGTGGCTAGAAATAGTTTTATTCTACTAAAACTCTCTCTCTTTGCTCGTTATGGTACTCCTAATATGAGTCCCATTTAGAAGAGCAAGGAAGAATAATGTTTTCTACTGCTTACAGCTTACAAAATAGTAGAGGAGAAGAAAAACATTGTTCTCAGTATGTTTTGTGTTCTCGCAGTGATTTCTACCTTCCTACTTCACTGGGTTTCAGTTTCCTTCTCTGAAGATACATGTCCAATGAATTAGTAGAGTAAAACATGCTTTACTCAAACTTATGCTTTTTATTTTCCTTTAAACATATTAGTCACATTATGAGCATGAACATTTTGTCTAACCAAGTCACTCTTCTCTGTAATTGAGAAAAGTTCTAGCATATCTCCCCTTGCACTTTTATGAGTAAATATATTTCTCAAATGCCAACTAAAATAGCTCTTTCTTTGTTGGCCTCTGCGAGGTATTCACATCCAAACATGATTATATGGCCATATCTGCTAGTTCTTTTAGAAAACAGCTATACAGATTTGATGTACTGGGGGTTTACAATAGAACTCTACTTCACCTGAATGCAATTAATTTTTCTGGGGGCAGAGGAGAAGGCGACAATCACTTTGGTGCAGTGCAGTTGTGGCCGAGAATACAATCTCATTGAAATGATGGAAGCTTTAGTAAAGTTTTGTAAAGACTATCTGAACTGAGGTTGTTTATGGCATAGATACGGCCATGTATCTTTCACAAACATAACATGAAACCATAGAAAATTCCTTAGCTACTCTGATAGTTAAGAGGATTTTTCTTAATAGTCTGACTATAACACATTTTTCTTTCATTGAGTGAGACTGAGCTAAAAGTCAGTTGAAGTAGTTTTTAATGAAAAGAAAATACAAATGCATTTTGATGCTGGCTATTTAAAGAGGGAATGTGGGGAAAAAAATCAGCTACACTGCAACATCACTCAAGAAAACAACTGGACTCCAGAACTATTAGAATTTCGTGCTTTGTGGATCACTAAGCTATTTAATAAAAATTCACACTCTTGAATAAATGGTAATCAGGTTGAACTGTCAAATTATGTGGTGTTGCTGTGGGTTTTGGGTTTTTCTTTTCTGAACCAAAAAATTCAGGCTCTGTGAAGCATTTGCCTAGACTGAATGTGCAAGGTGCCATGGATTAACAACATGGACCCATATGGAATGTGTTTGAAGTTTTCAAGAAGTTGTCCTGCCAGACTTCATTCCTTAATGACCTTTGATACACCTTGGATAGTGGAAAGGCAGTTCAGAATCATATCTTGTGATCGTATGATTTTGGCAGCTATCAGAAGATGAAGGATGCTAAAAGTTAAGGCTTTTATCCACAAACAATGGTGTATATTAATAAACTCTATACCATATTTACAAATGCTTTCTCTTGTATTAAAACTAACAGTATTCTGTTCACAGTGCCAATGTTTTTACAGGTAGCAATCCCACAGTACTCCAGTATTTTGGCATGGGAATCAGTAGCGCTTTGTATTTACAGAAAATGTACACGTATGAATATAAACACGTTACTTGAAACAGTACTCAAAAGATAGATCTGTTCGTGTTTCAAAGGTTTAGACTGTGTGACACCTTCCCTTTTGGTTGCGAGGGAATACTGTTCCTTGCAATGAGAAGATGCCTGTCTTTTATCCAAAGTGGCATAAAAATGATTACCAAAATGAGCCTTGTTACACTGGAGTTGTGTAGATGGAGAGTAACTTCAGTCCAAGGTTTATAGATCTGTTGTTTAGTGCACAGAATACAAAAGTTAAAAAGGTTTATTGTTTTAATTACTAAAATAACCAGACTCTCTCTGCCCTCTGTGAGCGCTGTCTCACTCAGCTAGTGTCCTCTGGATGCTGAAGATGCTGGTGGTTTAACGTGCAGCCCAGCTGCCAGCCTGGAAAGCATATGGCGCTCTGGGCCTATATACACATGTCACAGTATGACTCATGGTAAATGAATATATAACCAAGAGTGCCTCTGTCTCCCCTGTTCTGTTAGTAATCCTCCCTGCTTCACGGCAGCCGTAACCGGCCCGGCTCCAGTACTGCTGACTGGGACTTTGCATTCAGGCAGTTCACGATCAGGAGTGACGAATGGCATCAGGCATGCGCAGAACGAAGAGAGGGGAGAGGAACGTGAAGAAGATCCAGAAAGGAACCCAGCAGAACCGTGGGCTTGTTCGTGAGGACCCTTACAGCTTCTGCTTTGCCACTTCTTCCCTTTCCACGGTCTTGACAACAGGCTCCTAGCTCCCCAGGATTTTGTTTGCTGCTGTGATCAAGACAGAGATAGCAGTGCTATAAGGAAAAGTGCAAAGCTGCCACTAAGGAGTCTCTTCCTTATTTAAAGTCTGTTCTTGGCTGCCAGTCACTTGACCTGAGTGGTCATTGCTCCTACTACTGCTGTGTTGCTTGTGGAGCAAACTCCTCCACTTGGCCTTGTTCCTCCTGAGATGGTTCAGCATATTTTCAGATAGGGGTGTATCACCTGTAAACTGGGCCCACCTCTCAAAGAGTGGCTCTACGATGTACGTCATGAACCCTGGGGAAACAAAGGACAGCAGATGAGGAACAAATTCATTCCATGAGTGCATTGCCCCATAGGGTGCCTCAAGTGGATACAGCAATGTAAGTGGCAAAACCTTGACGAGAAGCTCAAGCAGTCATCAGCTCCTTCTGAAATGTACAGCTTTTGATCAGCGCGCATGACAAGATGTGGCTCTATCTGGATGTATGTATGACAGCATCCTTCTCTGAGGAGATTTCAGACTAGAAAGTAACCAGTCTTTAATCACATTGGCTGCAATTTTCCCCCAAAGATTTTAGAATGGCCTCTTTTTTCCCTTTGCAATGTCTCCTCTGTCTTTCTACTGAATATGTGCCTTGGATAGGTTTCTTTTTGAACATTTTTATTTAGAATGTGAATCGTGACTCTTACAGTACCTGTGGTTCTTACTGTTAAAACAACTAGATGGGGGGGGTGGGGCAAGGGGGAGGGTGCAGAAAAGTTTCTCTTTGAGCTTGTGCATACTGAGATAAACATGGATAGAGGAGAATTAAACTAATACTTACCGATCTGTATGCTTGGTATTGTATCCTTCTGCTGATTACAAAGGGGGCTTATTTCCAGTTCAAATTTTTGTTCCAGGTCACCTGCAAGGAAAAAAAAAAAAAAAAAAAAAGGAAATAATTTTCTGCCGCTTTTCTACCTATGCAAGGACCTTACAGTGACTGCAGATGTGGGGATTTGAGCAGTTGGAATCTTTCACCAATGATGACCATGTTACCTGTCTAAATGCTGTTGTCTGGACTTTTTAGGTATCAGAGAAACTAGGTATCTATACTAAGAAAAGTCTCTCTAAGGGAAGATGACTTTTGAATGAACGTTGAATCTAAGCACTTAAGTGTTCTGAGGACCTTAATTTTTAAAATAGACGATATCACATGAAATATTAAGATATTCTAGTTCATTTACTTACAGTTCAAGTGTCTTCCTACTAAAAAACTGCAGAATATAAATTTTAGAAGAAACATGTCTCCATCAGTACTGTAGTGTGAGTTGCTACTCTGTGCTTGTGGAAATGGCTGTTAAAGGGCAGTTTGGGTTGTTTTCTGTTGTTTTGGGTTTTGTTGTTTTTTTTTTTTTTTTTTTTATTGTTTTGTTTGTTTGTTTGTTTTTTAAAAAACCCCAAACACTCTGTGAGTGCAACACACTAATCCTTTGTGATTGTTAGCCTTCTTGGAGACACTGCCACAGTACAGTGGTTCCTGCATGAGGTACAGGACCATTCCTGTCTACAATATGGGAGAGAAAGGCGAATAACTGTGTGCAAGCTGTGCCTCTTGTCCTCAGGCAGTAATATTTCATCCATTTGTTTTACTAATAAGGTTGTAGTGAGGGCTGGTTATGCAAAACTTTCCTATAAGACGGACCTGATAGATCAGACAAGAGACTGTATTCAACCCATAAAGAAACATTTTGCTTTAAATCCACTGTTTTTGTTTAAAAGCTCTTTCCTCCCTACTAATAGACAGTTTTGACTTAAATTCTATTGCACTCCTCAGGTTCTATAGCCTGTATAAAACACCATGTGCATTTTTAAGCTTGCCCTTTCTTCTCTCTGCAGCATGCAATTTGTCAAATGTGAGAGATTTTCAGTTTTAATTACATATTTAGAAAATATCAGGGAAACATTTTTAGCTTCACAAACAATCAAAAGGAACACTTCAGCAACAGTGACAAAATAACAAGTTTGCTATGCTTTCAAATGTGCAGTTCCACTGTCCTCCTCTTCTATATCCTCCAAAAAGTTTTGATGGAAAAAAAAGTGTCTAACTCCAGTGACATCCCCTCTATAGGTATTGTGAGTTCAAAATGGTTGACCTGTCTGGCTTGAAGTGTATCAATATCTTCTTGCCTTTTACAAGTCATTCAATTAACAAAAATAAGATTTTCCTTTGCATGGTAAGAACTTAAATGATAGTCAAGTTTTTAATGTTTCATGTTGCTACAAAAGTAACTGAATTAATTAGTTGCTGAAAATTCATGCTGGGGAAAACCTTCCAAGCTATTTTAAAACCTCACCAGAGAAACTCATCATTAATGTTGCTTTAAACATTAGCCATTTTCTTGAAACTTTGTTTCTTGCCAGTTCTAGTATTATATAAATAAATCAAGTTGCATTACTTGCCCTGTGTTGCTAATTGACTTTTAAAACTTCTGAGAACAAGTTAAAGTATTTTTCTAAGAAAGGTTCCTGTTAGGAGCTGCTGTAGGCATCACTTCCTCTCTGAAATGTACTGAGTTGTATATTTTATTTACTAATAGATGTAGTGTAGATGCACCAGATGATTGGAAGATCAGGATCTGAATCTCTATTAAAATGGCATTAGAAATGTTTGATACAAAAAGTTTTGAAACTTTGTATGCATTCCAGAAGGAAGATTAAACAAGGCACTAATTGAGGTATTATCTGCCTCATTTGTAGTTAAAAATCAAAACATAAGAGATATGGTTTTCAAATGTTAAACTTAGTGACAAAAAATACCTTCAAGACCCAGCATTATGTCTAAGGGGGCAAAGAAGCCTACAATAATATTTTAAAGTGATAATGGTATCTAAATACATGCTATTTAATATTGTTTTTTGTTTCACTTACCAGGATTATACAGCCACCAGTGATAGTCAGACCACAGTTGCTGTATATTCTCCCACATGAAATGTTTTTTTTCTCCCTGTTACGTTTCTAACTGGTTTCATATGCTCCAGTGTCCCCTTTCAGAGGTATATTTTAGATGTTATAAATCTTGAGTCTTGGGGAAGACACTTATGTTTATAAGAGTTAAGAGTACTGTCTTTATCAGCATGGTCCCTCACGCGCTGAAGGTGAGGTATTGCACAGTTGGGGCCCTGTCCTCATGAGCTGGATATTGATTATGCCTTGACTATACATCTGACTAAATAAGCCTGCATCTGGCACGTTGCTTATGTTACTTCAAAAGCATCAAAGTCAAAGACATTTTAACCAGCTTAAACTGACAACGGCTGAAAATTAACTTGCTGACCTACTTGTCCTTGTTACAGACATGCCACAGCTTGGATGTGGCTTGATTTTGTAGTGCAGAATTTTAAATGAATTGGGAACTTCATTGTGTGTTCTTCCAGTGTTTGTACCACTTGCCTTCGGCTCTCAGGATGCTCCGAACAAAGAATTTAGCAGTGATTAAACTGCTGCACCCTGTATTGTAGCACAGTGTGACCTTGCCTATGCAGATAGAGCCAAATGGTGTAATTACAGTGTTTCAAAAAAAACCCTGCCTGACTGCGCTCTCTGCAGGGGTTTGAAAACATTTGCAATAGGTCCTCGCTGAGCTTTGGCTTGCCAGCTTTGGCCCTTTCAACAGCGTTAGAAGAGCTCGGTGTGCTGAGAACTGCATTTGAACCCTTTTCTCTGCATTTGTGCACAGAAGAACGTGTCATATTTGGGCAACAGCAAGGGTAGGGCTCCCATCGGAGTTGTAGCGGGAGGCAGCACGAAAAGCAATATAAACCACAGTGGATAGCAGTAGGATTTTGGTGCAGTGTAGGCCTGGCGCCGTTCCAGCTCAGGAACACTAACGGTGACTGGGGGGTCCTCGGAGGAGAACCCAGCCGGGGGCTCTCCAGCCGAACGCAAGCGCTGAGGCACAGCCGAGCCCTCCCTCCTGCCGGACGCTGCTACAGGAGCAGCCAGGGCAAAGAAATACTTGCTGCTCTTCAACCCTTTCCCACTTTTCAAATGAGGCAGAGGATCTCTTCAACCGTTCATTCCTGAGGGACATTTCAAGGCAAACTGGGAATGCTGAATGCTACCTCTGTCTGGCCACACAAAAAAAAAAAATCCTGGAGAGCTGAGGTGAAAGGGGACTGCCGCGCGAAGGGGCTGACCTTGCCGGTAAAACTCTTCGCAGACTCGTTCGCTCCACTGTTTGCTCAGATCCCAGAGCCGGCAAGGGTTGCAAATGTCAGCGCACTTGAGTGCAATCTGAAAGCAAAGAAGAAAAGCAGCAGTGAGAAGTTACTGCCTAGCAGTATTGTCTAGTTATTGTCTAGCAATAAATCTGCAGTCACAAAACTCCCAGGCCTCACCAGCAATGTTGGGAAGGCTTAAGATCACCTTTTAGAGACTCAGCCTCACCCAAAAATGCATTCTGAGGAAAGAGCACTTATTTAAACTGCAAGCAAAACTTTCACTCAGCCCTCTGCTTTACCATAGTGAGAACAAGAGGAGGGCTGAATTCCAAGGTTGCAAAGTGTTTTGGATATTCCTTGCAAGGAATAAGCCAACAAAAGCCTCAGGCTGGCTCCTGCTGACTGCCTGGCTCAGCATCCAAGGCTGATGACGAGGAAGGGAAGAGCCAAGCTGCTGCATTTGGGCATCATTTCTCTGCGGTCTCAGTGAGTGACCTTGCATCTCACTTCAATTACATTTCATCTCAATGTCTGCATATTTTTGTTTACAAAGCTAAGCACAGGGCTCTCCACATTGACCCTGGCTCAGTTTCACCTAGTTAACTAGTACTTTTAAGTGCATTGCAGGGGAGTGAGTACAGGAGGGCAAGAGGTTTTTGAAATCAAGCAACTGCTTCAGAAAAGTAAACCGTGTAATAGTCCATCTGTCTTACTGCCTTGGAACAAGACGTCATGTGCCTCGTTTCTGCACAGATCGAACACAGTCAGTTAGCCTGACAGAGGTCAGAAATCGTTCCGGCACCCGGGAGAAAAATATAAGAAATATTTCCTGTATAAATTCAGACCTGTGAACTGGAAGAAGGAAGTATCCAAGTCTCTTTTCTCTCTGGATTAAATTAATTAGCCTTAATGTCACTGTCTATTACAAGGACCTGTCAAACATTCTTTAACTTAACCTGATCAATCAAGATTTCCTGATACCTTTTTTCTTTTCTTCTTCCACAACTAATCCACCAGATAAGTAAACTACCAGGTCTGTGCCCTAGTTCCTATCTTTAAGAAAGCATATAAGAAACTTCTTGCTGTAGTTGAGATCTGTAATCCCTCTGCCTTTGGCATTTACACAACTTTCTTGCCTAATCTGTGCAGAAATATGTTAAGGCCATCATTCTGCCCTGTGTGGTCCATGCAGGAATCTGACAGAAGACCGTGTTTGATGGAGGACAGGCGAGCAGATCACTGCATTTCCCATGCTGCTGGAGGGGGAAGAATGAACAGATCAGCACTTCCTTCCTTGCAACTGTCACCTTTCCTGTAACCTCGACAAGGTGATATCATGTAGATGTTTGCTTTATAAATTGTAATAATCATGTAAACTCTTTTATGTATTTAAAAGTGAAATTCATGTCATCTCTCCAGAGAAGCATGTATATACAGCTACTTTAATCACAATAATGCTTTGATAGGTGCAGGTTTATTCTGAAGAGCCTGTTAACGGCTGCAGCTTGGCTGGAAGAACCAGTGTCAATCCATCTGATTTTTAAACAAAGCATGGTTTCTTCATTAGCTGGGCAGATCTACTAGAGAAGCGCCTGCTGCCATGGCAACAGCTGTCTCTGCAGAGGCAGTTTCTGAACATCCATCCCAGGAACGGGACTTGGGCACCTGATGTCAGGCTGCCTTGGAAAGAATACCAATGAGGGGGCTAAACTGCACGGTGCTAGAAGATAACACCAGGGAAGTGACATTTGCCAGAACAGAGACTATAACTGAAGGTTTACCTGGCAAGAGAAGCAGTGGTCTGAAAATACAATAATTAATAGCTTATCTTCATCTCTCAGCATTTGACACTCTCCTGTACCTGTCGCATTCACAGCTTTTTAACTTGAGGAAATTACATAAGGAAATACTGGAGGCACCTTACGTTTGCCTGACACGCCAGGTGCCAGAAGGAAAGTGTTTATGGTGACAGGTAAGGAGATGTTGATGTTCAGTCACACTATGCTATTCTAACATATACTAGGAAACACTGACTTGAAAAGTTAATAAAAAAACAATAGTGGAAAAATATTTTTTAAAGTTACCTGAAGCATAAAATGTCTGTCTTGTGCGTCCTCCAGCCTCAAATCCTGATTGTCAAGGTGAGATTTCAGACGGATCAAAAACTCATTCTGCCTGTTGATGTCTGTTGCCAAGATCAGGGAGCCCAACTGCTGCTCGATGTCCTGTCTGCAATTAAAGAAAACAAAACTCCTCAGTCATGGAACTACTGAATATTAATAGCTCAAAACAACTTGCAATGGATCATAGCTAGCATAAAGCTTCCTCTTTCTTGGTCTGATCTGCTTGGTCAGTCTCTGCTGGGGTTTTCAGCTGCCTAAATGGGTTCAAGAGGAATAGATAATGTAGAAGAAAATCACTTGTTGGCATAGGTGGTTCTGAAAGCTTCTGAAAAGTGCTAGGAAGGTAAAAAAAGTCCAAAACAACAGCATGATGCATGCAGAAAAATGCTAACGTCTTACTTCAGCTGCTCAGAGCTGGGTGGTGAATACTGCAACTTTGAAGTTGCAGTTAAAGTTGTGAAGGACTGGACTGAGTCCTTTAAAGTACGACTGAAGTTGTTGGTCTGATGCAAAGGATTTCTGGAGGGATACGGAGCTTATTGCTTTCAGGTAACTTGTTTATATTCTTGGTAAGGTCACCTGTGATTAAAATTTAGTATTGCAGGCTCTTCATTGGCTCAGTCTCCATTCCTTGGCAGGAGTAACACTGCACAAAACCAGCAGGTAAAAAGTTAGCATCAACTTGGCCAAGGTGCTCATGTGGCTGCTTTTTTTTTTTTTTTGGCTTCACCCAAAAAGACAGTGAAGACTGAACCACACCTCCTCAGTCAGGTGTGGAAGTCCTGAGCAGTCTTGATGCTACTCAATCCAAACTTAATTTTTCTCTCTATTTCATGCTCTTTAATCACTAAATATTTACATATTTGGGTGGTGCTATGTAGAACAAAAAATGCCAGCAAGGGATCTGAAAAGGTCCATTCCTGCTGGGACTCCCAGTGTTCCTGGCACTGAGAGTGGCCATTCCCCATTGCTGCACTGCAGAAGTAGCAAGGTCTTAGAAATACTTCTGCTGTGTAACTTTGTCTCATGATTTACTACTGCCACCAAGAGAGGGCTGGAAATTCAGCCTACTCTGAAGCCTGGGCCTCTTTTCAGTGTCTTTTTAAGAAGAGTGACGGAAGCCATGGGCAACTTTCAGTGATGCATTTTCTCCAGAGGACACTTACGTCACCTCCTTGGGCAGATGGGCGAGGAGCCGTGACTCTCGAAGCATGCCTATCGTAGATCGCCAGTGATGATTTTCTAGCACTGAAACGTTCTGAGGAGGAATAAAAGGAGTATATTCAAGAATTAGACACATATCCATGGTACAGATACAGATTTGCCGTATCACATGATGCCTAGAGCTGTATGGAAGTGCTGTAACATGAGACTAAAATGTGTGCTTTTTAGCCATCTCTTGGATTTGTGGAGTTGGTCTGGATTTCTACAGTTAAGGACCTCGTGCTAGGTTTCCTAGCTAAGGGCAGCCCTAGCCAGAGTCCTGTTGTTCTACGGTTTTTGAGTCCTGCTGTGAACAGAGGAGCTAATCTCATCTGACTGGGAGGTATCTTGCATTGTAACAGAGTTATTAACAACTGAATTAAAGCATGAGTGCAAAAATCATATTTTTACCTTCTACTGATCCCAGGTTGCCTTCTCAGCTTCTACAGTTTGAATGCAGAGCAGACAAGAAAAAGAAAAAATATTTCCCTTGGAGTCAGGGAACTAGAAGCTGCTTGTAGCTACTCAGTGAAAGCAAGAGGAGAATCAGTATCACTGAGCATCTGCAAGATTCAGCAACTTGGTCTACACCAATTTTGACTCCTTTTTGTTTATTTGCTTCCAACTAAGTGGAACCAAAGTTAGGTTGGAAAAAATTCCTAGGGAACAGAACCCCAGCTTTCTAGGTTGTCCATAAATTACAACAACTTGGGTCTCTTGTGTCTGATGACTTCGTATTACTATCCTAGAACACAGTGCATTTGCCAGTCATCACGCATCTAGTTCACAGAGTACTTTCGACCACTGGATGCCTCAGAAACATCACTTGTTCAGACGCCTCTAACACAAACACCACCAAGCCTTTTGGGCAGGTAGCAGAGCCAGGACTCTGCCCCATCACTGCCAACTAGGAAACTAGAGTCAGAATCCCTCTTTCAGGCCACTGTTCACCTCTGGCTCCCTTCTGCACACTCCCACAGCTCTGTGGCACCGCTGTGGTTGCACTGCCTCTCCTGATGGATGTGATGCTTCCACTTCTCCAAAAGGGACTGAACAGTATTTTCTCCTTAAGGCTTCCTCCTTTGTAATCCTGTCATATCGAATGACTGTTGAAACACTAAACATTGCCAGTAACCAAATTCCAATTTGCATTTTGATCATCTTCTCAGTAGTTTTCCTGAGATTTTGCATTCAACATTAGTGTAAAGGTGAGAGTGCAAATTTGATTTATTTCCCATTACAGTATTTTCTGCAGTATCGTCTGTTGCTTTTGAATTCACACAATTGCTGATATATTGCTTTGGTATTTCTTTGTAGTTTCCTTTTTTCTTGTTTGTGTTTGTGTTGTTTTTTTTTTTTCCCCTAATAGAAATCACAAATACCAGGGGAAAAAAAGAAAACAACAACAAAATAAAACCAACACCAAAACTTTCCAACCATGCAAAGACTAAGTCCTTTTCCTTGGAAGAGGTCACAGACTCAGAACTCAGGATCAGCTATGCAATATCTAAATTATTTTTGACAGCAATTCTCTTCATTAGCCAACTTAAATATCCCCCTTCTCCTTTTGCCTAAATACATCAGGATGGACTTTTACAACCCTGCACTCTGACCATGAAAAATAAGTGAATGTAATAGGATGTAACAATTTTCTTTTCTTCTTTCACCTCCCTAATCTGAGAGCTGGATCCTGGTCCCAACAGTCACCTCAAATCCACAGGCTGCCATCTTCCTCCCTTCAGGTAAATTAGACAAACGCTGCCTGACTGTCACCTTTGGCTTTTGGGAAGGCTTATGCTTGTTTAAGATGGTGCCTGTGTGCACAGCTCCTGCAGCCCTGGTCTGACTGCACCCCTGAAACACCCCAACTGAGGAGATTCCCCATGGATCAACCACCCCGTGGTCCCATTCCCTTTCAGCACGGTGGCGTTACTTGCTGGGAGGATCTGCTTCAGTGGCACCTACCTCACCCAGGAGTTACACCCCACGGAAGCAGTCGCTCCTTGGCCACACCGAAGGCCAGCCAGAACAGGGCCGAGCATGTAGGCGCCCAAGAACTTTCTTGCATTCAACTAACAGTTACTCAAAGGAAAAAGCAAACTAAAAAAAGTCTGTGCCGGTTAGCAGACTGGGTTTCTCAGCTCTGCTTCCCCTACTTTTATTTTTAAAAAGCACCAAAACTGAATAGCACAGGTTTGTTTTAAAGGATGCATGATAGGAAACCTCTGTCACATCTACTGCCTAAAACCACTGGATTACTATAACACAGACTTCAGCATTGGGAGGAAGAAACCTGTTTTTTGACTTAAACTATCACAAATTCTCCAATCTGTGACTTTCCCTGAGTCATTCAAACCACCACACTTGACAATCACATTTGGAAAAGAATAATAACTTGAAGAGAGGAAGACTTGCTATTCTCTAGGTGCAGAGAAAACTTCCAATTTTAATTCGTAGTGGAAGGGGATCTAAATTTCTTTCAATCAGGTCATCTGTTCATTGAGCAATTGGTTTAACTACACAATGTTAAATACCTGAAAATGGTACTTTAATTAGAAATGATGGTTTTAAGGAAGACTGCAAAGTAGAACTGTCATAACTGATGCCCAAAACATATTTTCCTAATTCTAGTTTATATACATCATATTAAAGTTGTAGTGTTCTTTCATAGATTTCTGAAACCTGTTTTGTACTACAGAACTTGTATGTGATCATTCCCGACTTCTGAACTACTACTCTTCACTTAAGAGCCAGACAAAGATAGATTCCAACTCTGTATTACTGCAGTTAAAAAATTACATTTTATCAATGCCATTTGTTTTCTTAGGAAATTCATAAATCATTTTCAGTAAAAGTTTATATTTTTACCTAAAAAAAAAGACAGTATGACTTTTTCTGGTGTTAGGTTTGATGTGGAGTTTTGGATAACTACGAGGCAGGATTGTATCTGGCTGAGAGGTACTGAATTGTATGATGCTTTCAGTCAAAAGAAGCAGAAATATGTTGGATACGCCAAATGTATCAACCAGAGTTTGAGTTGTGACTTTTAAGACTACGAAGACCTAAGACAATGACTATCAAGCAAGAATAAAACTTTTTTTTTTTTTTTTTCCAGTGGCCAGTGAAAGTTAGAATCAAAGTCTGCATCACATAACAAGGAATGCTGTTGTGCTCCTCTCTGCAGAAATAAGTAACCTCCAGATCCCTACTGTCACCTGTACTCTCACCTGTCTTTGTAATGTTGGAGACTTGAATGAGGCACTTTATTCTTGTGGAAAATTATGGTGCCTCACATGCAATTGTCTCTTGTGGAAATTACCCTATAGATTACAAAAAAAAATTACTGCATCATAAAATATGGATTTAGTTTGAAAATGAATACTGAAAGTTCTGAAATCCTTGGTGATGACACCTATCTTCCTGAAACATGATTCTCCTTATATACGCACTTCAGAAGCTGTCAAACACTTGGCCTCTTTGTCAAATACTCGCCTCATTTTGCAAAACCTTTTTTTTCCAGATGATTTAAATGTAAAGTTCTAATTTTAATGTACAAACTATCAAGAGCAAAGAGATGACATAATCAGATAAACCTTAGTCTCAGTTACTACTGTTTCAGTGACAGATGACTGCCAGCTGTGTTAAAACTAACTTACTTTCATTTGATCATTTTTCCAATTAGTTCCAGCAGTTCTGTGGCTCTGTTACTTAAAAAACAAAAACCCCAGAACTTGTTTGTTTCAGTTTCAAGCACAAGTACTAATCTTAAGGAGAATATTGTTTTAAAGACTATTCACTGAATCTAAATTTTGGACTAAAAATGTTTTCAGCAAAATTTTTTTTCAGCATTACTATTTTTATTGGCATCCATGTACTGTATACTACTAAAATCTTCAGAAACAATCTGGGATCAGTTTCAGATAAAATAATACAAGTCAAACATGCCAGTGAATGTTCCAAAACAGGATACTTAAAAATCATATTTGCTGTTGAAAGACTGCATTTCCTGCACTGTCACTGCCTTTTCTAAGCAACATTTGAAAGCATATTCAAGCTCAGTTAGCTGAGCAGAAACCACCTCTCCAAGATACTAATACTTTATTTTAGTTACACTTCTTTCAGATTAGCCTGAATTTTCAACCTAATTATATATTACTGTTTCCCACTATTAATTTGAGGAGTTGTTGTTTATACCTTTCCATAGGACCAGGGTTTTTGTGGAGTGGCTCCACCTACTCCTCTTCAAAGTACCCTTAACATAACCTTCCCAAAGTCCCCTGGCTTAGGTCCTTGGCTTTTCTCCCTCCCCACTCAGCTGGCCTGACATTTAGAAAAGACTGGAGCAAAACAAACCAGACGTGTATGGGTATGACTTAATAAGCTGCATCAGCTTGTGACAAGGCCAGTCACAAAGTTTTAAGTGTCTGAGCATCACCATGCCCTGGCTGGGACTCCCATGGCCCAGACCATTCCCGTACCCCAGGGCAGGACAGCTGCACTGTTACACAATCCACTTCTTATGGAAAAACCCAAATGCTGCTTGAGTAGGAGAAAACAAGAGAGAATCTGTTTTCAAGTAGTCAGCACATCAGAGCAATATCTTGATTTGCTAAGTATGTATAGAAAGGTACATAGCTGTTAGTGAGTCTTCTTCAGTTAGATTAATTTTTAACTTGGGATACTCTGACACCTTATTACAAAGGCTGAAGCTGACTATTCTGAAGGCTGGAAATCAATACCATTTCCATTTATTATCTATGAATTACGGTAAGTGCCAGCAAAATGATTTACAGCATTGCCCCGGTAAGTAGAGGTAAGTATAATGTAAAGGACAGAGATGTATGTATACATGCATGCAACAATTATACACATAGGACAGCTGTAGATAAAATCCAGAGCTACAGTGATTGCCATGGGCCAAAACTACAAATATATTCAAAAAGGACCACAAAAATCAGGGCAGGATGGGTTCACTGGTAGTTACTGAACAAGAGGGTCTGTGTTTCTGTTTCAGGAAGTCTTCTACTACTGCTTGCCATGGCTGGAAGGATGTATACCAGGTGAAGGACAACTCTATACTTATCCCAGGCTTATGTTTCTCTCTGAGATCTTTTACTGGCTGCTCTCAGAAACAGGATACTGGTCTAGACAGCCTCTGGTGTGACCTACAGTGGCTGTTTATAAGTTCTTTATTTATATCTCTAGGCACGTTTGTGTAAATACCTACAACTTTTCCTTTGGTTTCCTCTATCTTCTATTTTTTTTTTTCTTAAATTGCAGTATTCATTATGTGTTTCATTTTACTAGAGCCACATGAAGCAAAAGTTTCTTGTAATGCAACACCAATTTAGAACATGCCTGCTGCTTACTTGCTCACTGAAGGAAGATGAAGTACAAATTGTCTCACCATGATTTTAAATCTACCCACAGCTCCTTACCCCAGATGATCTACAGCAGCAATAACCCAGGCAACTGATTTGGCTTAAATGTCTTCAACAAAATCTGACATTTCCACCTTCTTTCTCATTTATAAATGAGAAGCTTTCCTGTAAGAAGTGTCACCCAGTGAGATGCCTAACTGAAACTGTCTGGAGTATAAAGTGTAGGTTGATTTGATCAACATTCCCCTGCTGCCAGATTTTGGCATTAAAGTTCACTGCAGACTGCTTAGACTCTCCTTGACACCACTTTACATATTATCAACTTGATAAGCAGTTTTACCTGGTACAGGCTGGCAAGGTGGTGTTTAGTTTTGATCAGAAAGGGTTGGTTGACCCCTGGATGATCCACATCATGAGCCGCAGCAGCTAGCAGTCCGAGCATGATGTCCGACGGGGTGAGGAAGTTGGCAAGCTGAATCACATGTGTTAATCACAACGAGAACGTGAACAGTAAACACCTTTTTTTTTTTTTTCTTCCTTTGGCAAATAAACAAACCAGCTGACATCGTGGCATTGCTCAGTTTTGTAGGCATTTGTACACCAATGTCAAATATAAAATAAATTTTGTGAACAATGTTTTTAAAGTGACTGCTGAACAAATATCTGATAAGATATCAGACTATATAGTCGTATTTTATTACAGTTTTTATTTCTTATCTCTTTATCATTCATGGCAATATAAAGATTGTTATTATAGAAGTGCTTCAGCATAGTCTAAAAGGTTCAGTTTAAAAAAGTAAATAAGTATACTAGCAGGTTGGCATATGTTAGCATATATGATAAGAGCTCTGACTCACACAGTATTTAGTAATACCAACAGTGCATCTGGCTTCATTTTTCTAGCACAGCACTGTGTTGTAAAATGCAGAGATTATAAACTTCTGGAATTTCAAACTTGGCTGTTAGGTATCTCTGTTTAAATATAGGTATTATATTAAAGAACATAATTCACCTTTCTAACTTCAGACATCCAAGTTTGAAAACCTGCCCAGAATTTTTTCTTCTATACATCTTATCATTCAGAAGCAAATTTTGTTACCATTTAGAAGCAAATTTTGTTATAATTGGAAAAATAAAATAGGAAGTTTTAGCATTTTCCGCTTCTAAGAGTGAGGTAGTTATTGCCCAATGAGTCTGTACAGAGTACAAATCCACGAGCTGAAAGAAGAAGCATCCTGAGATGAGAAATGAAGAGCAGTATGGTACAGGTTCTGGATGTTGACTGTCCTCTGTACTTCTCGACAGAAGGGGCTTGCAGATCTTGCAGGAGGTAGAAATGCAGGAAAGACGTCGCCTGATCCTGTCCTCACTTATCATTACTGTATTCTGGTCTAACAATTTGCTATTTATAGCAGAACTTCCTTTCATTTAAGTCAAGCCAGGAAAGATTAGTTATATTCTTACACTGTGGCTCAGCATTACAGTGCCCTCCACCAACATACTTTAAGCAGCATCACTCCCTCACGTTGTGGGGGGCAGCAGCCAAAAGCTGCTGTTCACTTGTGCAGCGGATACCCCCTGCAACACACCTCTTTTCTGGTGTTGCACTGCCCAATGCAGTATTTTGAAATATTGATGTGAGGGGCTTACGCCCTGAGGCAACTGAGGCAGGGGCAGGCATTGCCTCCTGCTGGCTTTGATGGGAGGACTGCAGCCACTGGTGGGTGGCTGGTTCTCACGGTCACGGAACCTGGAGCTCACACGACAGCACTTCATGTCGCCTGCATGATGGGGAGTGACTCCAGTACCTTGTTTGAAATGTCTGGCATCTGTAGCTGACTCTGCTACTCACTTGTTGCTGAATTCAAGCATGCAACCATTTTCTGCTATCTAAAAATAGCTTCTTGGTTTTTTTTGTTTTTTTTTGTTTTTTTTTTTTTTCAATTCTGGGAAAAAAAATCTGACAATTATCTGAAAGCAATGTAAGTGTGAAAGGTCATCATTACCTTGGGCTCTCTCAGATAGCAGTGCATAGCTTGCGTGACATCAGCAGCATGGACAGCATTGTGGTACGGGTTTTGGCTATGGTAATCTTCTTGAACCATAACTGGGAACCAAAACAGAAAACAAAGATCCTTTTGTCTCTGAATGCCATGGCCACAAGTGGGAACTGGATTTAAAATACAATTTGAGGTTTTACAGTCAGCTGCCTAAGGAGTTTCTTCAAATAGCTGTAGCTTACTTAGACTGGTGCTCTTATTGGGATACCTTTAGAGAAAAAATGCATGAAAGGATTTGTGAGGCCCAAGGGGACATACTGGGTCTAGTTCATAAATCAACTCTTTCTTGCCTTAGTGAAGGCTCTCATTCAGGAGTAAAATAAATAAGGAAGAAAGGCAAATTTATCCACAACGGAGTGTAATTATTCAGGCTGCTGTCACAGGGAAGTCATATGTCATTAAGGCAATACCACCTATTTTACAGCAGCAGGGGGTGAGGCCCTGATATCCTGGCATCATTTGTTATTTGAGTGACTAACTACAGTCAAAGGCATTCCTACATCCTCCAGGCAGAGAATCAAAAGATACAGCACTGGGGTATTAAGAGCAAAATATTCTGTGATAATTTCAGTCACATCGATGTGATAATTTTAAAACACCAGTCCCTCTTGGTTTAGTTCACAGTGCTGGAACTGGTCCAGCTGGACCAGGAGCACCAACCTTTTAACTCAGCTTTCACTCACACAGAAAATCATCGAGCTGTGTGCTTCACACTCATCTGTTCCTTGCAGCAGTGCCTGAACCATGAGGTGGTCTTGGGGCAACACCACTGAAACACTGGAAGCTGCACATGATCTTGCGCAAAAATGCTCTCCTAGACACTATCAAATTAATCAAACAGAAAGGTAACGGGCAAATTTCCCATGGCACTCGTCTCCAGCATGGGGACCACCAAAGAAAGTCCTGGCCTTCAGTTTGTTTCCAGCTCCACAAGCATCTGAAGTTACAGTAGGTAATCGTTTAAATCCTGAGTACCACTAGCTCTAATTATCTGAGTGTCCACTTCATGGCTGCCCACAGGAGTTAGAAACGGCAGGGAGATCTTGTCTGTCTCCACACCGGATGAATGCTTTCCAGAAGCAACAATTAGGCAGTCTTAAAGAAGAGACCCTGCTTTGGAAACTCTGCCTGACAGCCTGACAAACCAGCATTCAGCTGCATTCAAAACATGATGCAAAAAGTAATTGATTTTGGCCAATTTCTTCTTTTGGTTCACTGACAGCATGGGGCTAATATTTCTGTTGGCAGTAACAGCAGCAGGGGCTTTCATCAACACTATTCAGTGCAGACAGCTTGATATAATTCGTTAAATTTTGCACATAAGCTATTAACTGCCCTGGGTCTCAGTGGTCTATTAGTCACTAAAATAATTACACTGCACCACAATTGTACTGTGCCTGGGTAGGTTCTGCAACATCTGTCTGTCTGTGTGGGCCTACTCGGCCAGCCACATCTCTGCATGGCATACTTTTTTTAAACCACTAGTGCAATTGTGGTACTGGGATGCTTCAGCCCAATGCAGAGCCTTTTGAAGTCCCTCCATTGACTTAATGGGTACTGAACCCAGTACCCAAGGGCCTGTAAATTATATGCTAATATATATCACAGAAATGTTTTACTGAAATATTTGCAACACCATCATGATTTTACATAGACACACAGACCAAGGCAGTTTCTTCTCTGATGCCCTACTTAAGCTGTAAACTGCATTTAAAGATGGCTTTGAGGTGAGCACTTACCTAAAAACCTGTGTAATGTAACCATATCTAACTGGAAATGGTGGATAAGTCCATGCACATTGAAGAGGTGACAAAGCAGTGTTACGAGACTGTTTCCTAAAAGCAGAAAGGAACAAGTCTTAGATTCCCTTAACATGTAGTTACAGACCAAGCAAGACTAAAAATCTTGCTAATTTCCCAACTGCTAGTCAGCTCCTATCACCTTAGCTCCTATCATATGAGCTTAGATGACACTCAAACTCAAAATTGGCTTATATAAATTACTCCTATATATCAATCTCTATCAAGATTTGATGGTATGGCTGTACCAGTGCAGCACCATTCCTGTGTACAGTTGCCATAAAGTCACAGTTGCTGTTTCAACATGACACAGAAAGTGAATTAGCATGGTTTTAACCAGAAATCTTTTGACAGGCTTGAGAACCACATCATCTTCATAATCCTGCTCTACCTCCAGAAATGACAGAAAGGAGAAGGGCTTTTCTGCCACTTCAGTTTGCCACAGTGTACTAATTAATTAATTACTACGAAATCAGAAGTTTGTAATGAAATTTTTTATTTTACACATGGCTGTATAAACATGTAATTAACCCACGTACCTAGCTCAGCTACAACTGTATCTCATAATGATGATGATGCAGACAAGAAAAATGAGTTGCAGCATTTATGGTCTCAAGTTACGCTGTAATGTTATGCTGGCCTTACTGTGAATCCAATACTGGTAACATGGGCAAAATTGAGCTTAACTAGTATCATACGATCAATTATACATACACACAGTATTTTAAAAAGTTTGCACTGCATAATTCAGCAGCAATGTTTCCAGAAAAGTTAGGAAAAAAATCCCCAAACCAACCAACCCATACAACACATAAACAATATTTGAAGGGAGTCTTTTCTTATTTAATGTAACTCAGGAAAGAAAACAAATATATGTACAAAGAGGACATGGAAACTTATTTGCCTTTACTGAGCAGGGGTGCAGAAAGGTAATTTCGAAGAATTATGTTTTTTTTTCCTTTGCCATTTGCAGTCCTTTCCACTCTCCACTGCCAGTCACCCAGCTGAATTACCTTCTAAACCAACTTTTTTCTACACCTTCTTCCTCAGCCAAAGCTAATTAGACTGGGTGTGAGGAAGAAGGGATCTCATTCCTATGAGCAATACAGAAAGGAGAACGGTGTGATCATGACCCTCTTCAGCAGTTACCTGATCAAGAGGTATTGCCTAGACATTGCTGTGTGTGTGGTGTTACAAGCACATTTTTAGACAAAGCACTTCATAGATTCTGACTGTCTTAATGAATCTCCTAATTTTTGCTGCTTAACAGAAGCAAATGCATTTTCAGTTAAAAGTATTTTGTGTTGATAGAAATCAACTGGTTATGGAGGTCTGGATTTATGACCAATGTATCTAATAGGTATATTTAAAGTACCTTTGGAATTTCCCAGATAAAGAAAACTGAAACACCTTCTTGAAAAGGTGGCCATAACAAATGTAGGAGATTAGATTAACAGAAAACCACACAAAACATTATCCTGTAGTTCAGGAACAGCCTGAAAATGTTCGAGGATATGATTTTAAGAGATGTTAACTATGTCCAATTTCTCTTCAGTAATCCAAACTGGAAACATTTAGCAATTAATTAATTAGCGTTTTTTAGAATAGTCATGTATGAGAGATATTAAAATAAAAACTTTAAAATAAATTTACTTACCATTTGTCAAGCGGTCAAACAAGAAAATGTCAAAATCCCACATTCCCACTTTGGATAGCATATGCTAGAAAAAACAAACACAAAAAGGCAAATGACCGGTATGTCAAACTGTGAAGCAGATTTGAATTATTATTCCACCTTAATCAATCACAGGAGTGATTGCTGCAGCCTAGAAGTTTTGTTTGGGAAAGCTATAGAGATGTATTTGAAATATCAGACATCAGGAACCAAATTTAGCTTTACTGCATAAAATATCACTTGCACTTTTAAGTGAGGAGGTTTTGAACTTGACAATAAGCATACTTTCTAAATGGAGCTCAAAACAACAAATAATATAAACCAAAATATTATGAAAATATTCACTTTTACTGCACAATTTTTTAATTGTCCTTTATTGTTCCCAAATCAATTCAGTACAAATTCTTGTAGGCTTTTCTAGCAGTTTGCTAAACAAACCAGTACACGGGAATAGTCTTCATAAACTTAAGATACAGTGCTTCTGTGAAGCCCACTCAGCCACGCAGAAGAATCCATCATTACCACCATACACACCGTTTTTACAGATACATCAGTTCAGTCAAAAGACTGAGTCTGGACTAACTGTATAACCTACAATGGCACATGTGTCAATGAAATGTGCATTCAATCCCATTGCCTAGTCTATATTCAAACCAGTTCTGGATTCTTAACTACTTTCTAACACCTGGCACATAATCTTCTCTTGCAGAGAATAAAAATTGCCTAGGCACATAATCCCAACACTATCAGTTGTGCAGGTTTTGTCAGAAAATACCATTCAGAGCAAGTATAAGAGCTGCAAGATAACAGAACTGTATTTTGATTATTGTGAAGTTCTTTGTAGTGACTGGTCCCTGTTTCCTAGCCTTTGGCATTACGGAGAGCTACTGTGGGTTGCCTAATAGCTGCTCCATACCAGCTGAGAGACAGCTGTCTTTTTTCAAGCAGATAAACTAAATCCTGTGTTGATGAATTTAGTTAAATCAGTAATCCAGCCAGGGATCCTTGATTCTTTAATAAATCTAGATTATAATTTCAGTTGACAGAATCTGAAAATGCTGAATAGATCTAGACATTTTCTTGTTGCTCTGAGACTAAGCCTTTAAAGCTGTAACCATAAAAGAGGAACGGACAGTCTGTTTGCTGTGAGGTAGGCAAGTAACGTGGGTCATTTAAGAAAGATCAGCCATACATTTGTTTATTTGAAGACTGAACCAAACCTGACACATTCCCTGGAATATTATTAAAGGAAATGGAGATCTGGAGACCCATCTTACCCTTGCTTGCCCAAGGTAGTCCTCATCCAGTAGGTACAGAGAGGCTTGTGGTACAATCCCACGCAGTAACCGGGATGCATGGAAATACCTCTGGAAACTTAACAGTCTTTTCACTTTTTTCTTGGTGCCAATTTCCCCTGAGAGTGTAGTATCTGTGAAAAGCAATCAGCACAGAAACCATGACGCCCAAGATGAAGGATGGCATTCTCAATTATTTAATAAGAGAAATAGCAAAAACTTTAAAATAGTGATAGAAAAATCATAACGCTCATGCTTCTTGCCCATCTACATGAAGGAGCAGTATTCAGATCCCTGTATTTCAGCATAATATATGTGTTTATTTCAGAAAGGAAATGTGTTCCAGTAAAAAGATTACAAATGTAGGACTTGGAAGATCCGAGTTCCGTACTCCGCCTGTAACAGTCTTTACTGTGACCCAGGCTAAGTGACTGGTGGGAGGGGTGTGATATATCAGCTAACTGTAGATGTCTAGAGGGAGCCTAAATGACTAGGGTTAGGGTTAGGTACAAGAAAGCTGCTCTTACTCTTCTGTGCCTCTGTTCCCTAGCTATACAATTGGAAGTAGCGTTACCTTGCTACCTCACAGGAGTGTCACAGGAATATATTAAAATCACATAGCACTAGTATACAAGGTGATCTTGGCTATAAAACCAAAAAAGTTACACTGAAGGAGACCTCAAAAGACAGTTTGAAAGCACATATACATGACCCACTTTTGGAAAATGAAAGAAGATAAAGAAGTAAGAATAGGTTAATAATCCTATTGTATTGTCTGTTGTCCTTCCTACATATTAAAGCAAAGTATAAATAAAGAAAATATTTTAGTTCTACAATTAGGAAAGCAAGTCTATTCAGGCAATACATGCATTTCTGGTTACACAACAGAGTATGGTCCTTTCACTCAGTAGTAGGATAATTCCAATTCCCTAATGCTGCATTAGGAGATTTTCATATAGGGCTAAATGTGATACAAAAACCAAGGCAGTTTTTATACAGTGATTAAATCAGTAATTAGAGTAATTAAATTGCCTTATTCTTAGTAAGAAAAATATGCAGGCTTCATAGAACTGATAATGACTTAGGTAATTTCATCTGAACTTTTAACAGAACCTCATGTACAATTGTGATGTTTTCATTTTACAGTCTGGTATAAGTTTTGGAAAAAGGGAGGACAGAAACTGGGCAGTTGTCTGAAGGCAGTAAGCTTCAACACAGTTTTATTCATAAGAGCAACCTTGAAGAAACTGAATTTCTTTTAGAGAACAGTAATGATCACTTGAGATAAGAAGCTGCATAGCAATTCACTGGATTTCAGGTTTAAATAAGAGCTCAGGAAAAATATCCATGGACTGAAGATGACTATCTCTAGTCTGCTATTTCTTTTTTATGAAAAAATGCTGAGCATTTGTTCTGCTATGAAATTAGAATATGACTTTGTATGCTGTTTTTATGAGTATTATTATCCTGAGAGTTTTTTCAGAGAAGTCATTAAGGTTTTTTTGGATCATAGATGGTTCAGTATCTGATTTCTCCAACAGCACATGTGTGAGCACCTTCTGTGGCAAGTTTCTTCCTTAAGTAATCCAACAGCTATCGAGTGATGCAGTCAGCAACAACAACAAAAAATACATACTTACAATAATTATTATATTTTATTACACCTGTGTCTCACACTCCTCATGGGCAGTCCAAAGACCCCACTGAGTTTTAATAATATAAAAGCACAAAATAATTTTATTGTAACTTGACAGGCCATGTGTTTTCAAGAATGCAAACAGTAACAATGTCACTACTGTACCAGCCTGAAGGTTAGATTTTCATTTATGATGTGCCAGCACCTGCCATAATTCTCTCACACATTTTAAAAGTTGGAACAATTTCATGGCCTGCTGATGGAGTGACTAACGGAGGTGCTAACAGTTACCCAGTGACAGCAACATGTGGAGGAACCAGTAGACTTGTTCTCGCATTTCTTTTCATTTATATAGTGCTGCTAAGAAGTGGCTGGCATTCAGTTTAATTCCTGCATAAGAAACCACTTAAAATTAAATCACTTATTAAAACCGTATCACCTGTTTCTCGACTTCCCAACTCTCCTAATTCAATCTTTGCCCTCAAACTATCACTGTTTTCAGGTAACAAGTTTAAATTTTAAGGTATGGAAAACTTTCCTTTTGTACATTAAAAATGAGTAGTTGCTCCAACCAATTTTTATCTAAGTTAACATCTGTTTTTGTCAGTTGAAGACAGATGACTTAAATTACCACCTACACTCCCCTAAACTGTCTTTAAAACTCACATGTAGAGTTGCTGTGGATGATCTGAAGGTGAAGGTTTGGTCTGAGTCCTAACAAGCAGCTGTACACTGCAGTAGGAAGAAGTGGTTATTTTATCCTTTGGATTACCAGATTACTTCAGTAGCACAAATAATACTTACCAAACCACAAACACATCAGGTTGAAATACACAATTTCTTATTATGAAACATATTTTCTGATTTGAACCATCAAACTTGTTGCCACTACTTTGTCAGATTGCTCTGTATGGTTGTCACGGGTCTCAACTGAAATTTAATCATCAGCAGACAGTGCCTCTGGAACATGACTTGCTGGTTCAGATGAGCACTGTATTACAATATATTATGCAAAAAAATCTGTTGCCCTGTATTTTCATTCATAGGGGAAAGAGTTTATAATACTCATAAAGAACGGTAGGAAGCGTGCTTTAAAAATTGGGCTCTTGACAGAACAGCCTGAAAACTGTACCACAGGCTAACCACGTGCAAACTCTGGATGTTGACTTAAAAGATATCATGTTAAAATCACATCCTTTGGGTCATTTCAGTAATACCGGATTTGTCCATGAATCACAGGACTTGTCAAATGATTCCTATGACCCATAACAGATTACTATGCCATCCTCAACAATGTACCTTATTATAATGGTGTCTTGCATAAAATTGGACTAAGACTCTGTCCCTCTCTGAGCACAAAACACCCCAAACTATTATGATCTTATCAGCATCTTTCCCCTCCCAAGATCAGTGTCAACCAAAAAAGAAAAGCACAGCCATATGAAGTTGAGAGAAAAAGGATGATTAAAAATGAAGAGCAAAAGGTGAAGCAGCTGAGAGTGAATGCTCAAATTCTGTCCTCATTTGCACCTGAATCTCCCAGCAGCAAAATGCCATTCCCAGCACATGGGATCCACCGTCTGACACAAAATTAAGATGCAGTTTTAAGATTAAATTAAGGATTTATGTAAATGACTTATAGTAATACACTGAACATACCATTTCTTTACTGACAACAGTAAATTCCAATTTAATTTGTAAATATAAAATTTTGATGATGTTACCTGATGTAAGTCATATAGTGACTTTGAACTGGAAAGAGTTATTGATAGCTATTTCTAATTAAGTTAAATTGAATTACAAGTAAATGAATCAGAAATATCACTGCAGATATCACTGAACTCCAGTTATATTATCTAGTTAAAGAACACAAGCTGCAAGGCTCACATGGGAAGGATTTAGTAATTATATGCAATTTTGAAATTAACATGAAAAACAAACAAGAATGTCTTTTGTATATACCCATAAAACTTCCTCTGAGAACGGTTGTTTAACTTTAATCATTGTGGCAACTTCTGAATGCTTTATTTACCTAAAAAAAGAATCATATTTATCTCTTAAAAGATGCCCACTCTCATATTCTGTGGAGTCACTGTGTAGCACAGCAGTTGGAGAAACCCTTCTTTGTACACTGAATAAAGTTATTGTATGAATTACATACATATTGTATGAATTACACATTTACAGAAACATCCATATAAGCATTCCTCAACAAAGCTTAACCTCTACCTTCAAAAAGCCTGAGCTCATGGTGTATCTATCTCCTGATATGTTTTAGCAGGCAGCAAAAGTGGTTGCATTTTTCTTTAGGTAATTTGATAGCCAAAATCACATATACATGCCATCAGACCACGGATGATGTCTGGGTACTGCACATGGCCCTCAAGAGGTTAATAAACTACAGTAATCAATGGTTGCCTTCTCTTTCCTAACAAAGTTCCCCCAGTTACACAGATCTGCTTGCCTTAACATGATCTATGGCTCACTACACCTCAGCCTCTATTATTTCAGGGAAAGAGGTTTCCTGCGCTAGGAACTGCTACCAGTTTTCTTTCAGATTTCTTTCACATTGCTGCACTAGTGCGTGCCCACAGGCAGTGCGAATATAAAAATGATGGAGGTTATGTTAACAATGGTTGAGTTAACATCCAGAAACAATCACATAAATCAAATTTGGACAAGGATGTACTTAACTCTGCACCAGACATTCATTACATTGTTATTGTTCTTTCAAAGTAAACAAACTTAGTTATGCATTCAAATAAGGCCTCTGAGCTTTCCTTCACAGTATTGCCTTTTTTATTTTATCGCACCTTAGTGTACAATAAAAACAGGTCACCCAGCAGCATGAGTGGATAACAACAGGTTTATTAATTTTCAAAAGCCAACTTATTCAGAAGCAGAAAACATTTTTCTTCTTCTTTCCAAAAGGATGCATAATAAATCAGGTCCTCAAGCACCTGCCTTTTACTCATATGGTTTATAATACCCATCCCTCTCTTCTGAGGACGGAAACACTTTCTGTGCTCAGCAACTGCTCAACAACTGCATGCCTGAAGAGTCAGGTAGAAAAGTGCTGGCATAGCTGGAAGATAAGGTGAAAGGACCAGACCTGCAAATTACTGTCCAGACACTTTGCAGTGAGGAGTCTGGGAAAACAATTTGTCTCTGGTCCTATACATTATGGAGGTAATTTCCTGCACTGGTTCCTGGCTTGACAGCTGATTAGAATGCTTTTATCTGAGCGCCCAAGAGATATGTAATTGACTTACGAGGAATAATTGGTGTTTGTCCATTTTTTTGTGTGTCAAATCATGTCAGACATTTAGATCACCTTTACTGAAGTCTTGTTTGGCATACTCATTGCATGACTTTGTTGCTAAATTCTTCTTATGAAGAAGAGTAGTACTGATGATAGAAAAAAAAAAAAAAAGATGTGCCGCCTTAATATCTTCTTAAATTATGGATTTATCATATTATCCAAAAGACAACAGCAGT